ACAGGTTTTCCAGCTACGTCCATGAACATGTACTTCGACTCTCACCTTGTTTGAAACCCGCGGTTCTCAGTGTCCACCTTCCGTTTTGCCATTTTTGATGGGTATCTGAAAGCTAATGTCACTGTTATGGGAACGACTGCTAGACTAATAAATATTTAAATAAAGCGGCCGACTGCTTGGCGCGTCACCGTTGCATTGTGGGAAATGTAGTATTGGTGCGTGTAAAAGATCTGCGGGCTCTCGGCTTGCTGCGGTCCGCGGGCCGGTTCGAATAATAAATCAATATCATCCCAGGGGCCACTGAAAACATTCTCGCGGGCCGGATTTGGCCCGCGGGCCGGCACTTTGACATATGTGATGTAGCCTACCCACCTGCTTAATATTGATGATGAATCGTGTCAGTGAGTAAAATGTGAAATGAAGAGTAGATTTGTTAGCATCTGGGTGATGGCCACTGACTGACCTTGCCGTCGATAGCGTCTCCCTGCTCCTTTGTCAAAGCAATGATCCGGTTGATGACTTCCTCTGCGGAGATTAGGGGGCAGAAAAATGAACAAGAAGTTGAGTTCATCTGCCTGACAGCAGCCTCTACCATCCATCCATTTACTGACCTACCTACCTACCTACCTACCTATTGATCTTTTTAATCTGCCCATCTAACATACCTTTATTATTATTTATATTAATTTGAAAGCAGCGCTGCCCAGTCATTCTACCATCTCGTGCATGGGCTTAACCGGTCGGGCCATTGATAAGGCCATTAGTCGACTCATTGCAACAGAACACATCATTAAGATTTGATCATTCTCAGCAGGCCTTCCAGCTTGAGTCAGGTACATGGACAGAGTTTTAATATTCATTTTCTCAACAACCGACTTGATTGTGAGAAATTCGTTCCCCAGGTAACGTTAGCGAATGTCCCGGTAGGTCGGCACTTTATGGCTTATGGTGTTGTTCCGTTTGTGGAGATTGCAATGTTCAGTTGATTTCTACTCAAGTTCAGGATGCGGTTGCACAGCCAAAATGAAGGCCATCCAATGTTTTCGCAATCATTACATATTTCCCACACTGACTGCCAGCCTTTTATGCTCCAGTCCTGCAAAGCATCGACACAGCTAGCATACGGGACTGGAATTAAGGTTTCTGAGCTCTCGATGAGTTGGGTTGTCAAGTATGTGAACCACTCTATAACATTATGAAAACAATACCCAGTGTCCTTACCATCTGACATAGTGTCCAGCTCATCTTTTTCCTTGACCTCGTGGAGAATCTTCTCCAGTTCCTCGGACACTTTCTCATAGTAGGAGATGGTCGGTTCCACGCTCACCACAGCTGAAAATCAACAACAGGACATTAGTGAAAGGCAATGCACACTTTCTAACAAACCAACGATTCCCACCCAGCGTATCAATAGGGAATCAGTTTATTTATTGGAAAATCATTGTCACTGGCATCGATAGATGCCAGTGACGTGTCGTGACAAGGCAGAACAATGAAGTGCTCGTCATCCAGATGTGGTTGTGAAATCATACCTCCGCTGATGTCTGCAGGGTTGAACTCCTCTTTCTTGTTGGTCATAATAAGGGAAAGACGCCTCTTGGAGAACCTTCTTCTCAAAGTCTTTCTCTTTGAGGACTTCTTCTTTGTCGAGGAGGCCGGACTCGAGGCGGGCAAGCACACGGAGGTGTAGTCCGCGTCATCGTCGGACGCCTCTGGAATGTCTAACGGACACTCCTGCTCCTCGGCTTTCTCCTCAGTGCTCCTCCGCGAGAATAGACCCAAGAAGTTCTTCCACAAGGAGGGCTTTTTGTTCTTCTTGGACTTCTTGCTGACCTTGCCCTCCGACACCATGTCCGGGGGAGTTTCGGCGGGAGCGAGCGACCGGAAAGTACCATCGTTCAAATCATCGGCCAAGTGAAAGGAAGGGTTGCTGGAATGTCTCCGGTGCCTTTTGGGAATGGTCACCCATTTGAGTTTGCGCTCGGGATGCTTGACTCCAAGTGACTCATCATTGAGGCTTAGGCTGCGTTTGACGTAGACTTCCAGAAGACGGCGCGTGTCGTTGGGTGCCACTGAAATCACAGGACTGTTGTTGGTCCATCGATGGGCTGTTTCGTCCTCCATGGCGGGACAACTGCAATCACAAGAGAATATGGCACACTTTATCTAAATCATCCATTTAAGTTAATCATTGTATCTATTTTGGTTTATGGTTCAAGAATTTTTTTTTTGCTTCACTTGCAAAACAAGAAACCTTTTTTTTTACTTAATTTAATGAAAAAAAGAGTAAACTGTCAATAATACAGTATACTGTTATATTATTTACTTTTTACTTATTTTTAGTTATTCTTTATTTTCATTATTTGCTGGTAGTATACCTTTTTATAATTTCAAAAGTTGCTTACCTATTTAAAAAAAACTTGACTTCTATCAAAGTGCTTCACATTATATGTACTGAATATTAATGTTTTTTGGAGCAATAAAATTTTAATTGATCGATAATAAGAAATACTGCCATAACTAATTCCGCTAAAAGCTTTTCTAAATTTTTCATATCCGTGTTTACCGTAAGTGACTCACCTTTCTAGGAAATCAACAGGATGTAAGTCGTTGCATTTGAGGCTTGTTACTACTCAATAAAAAATGTTTTTGTCACATTGCGTATTAAGTGACATATGACTCAGACAAAAGACAGCACAGCTGTCATAGTAAAGACAATTAAAACAGAGTATTATACAACAAATACAGGAAATGTTTTGAGTCTTTTTTTATTCAAAAAAAATTATTTGGTGTACATTTTACAAAATGAAATAAATATAAATTATGTTCTTTCACATTATCTTAACATTTTCTGTGTATGCGCGCGTGCGTGTGTGTGTGTGTGTGCATGCTACAGTTGCTTGTTTAACTCCACTGTATTCAGATTTTTTGCTGCAAGTGCATTGATTGGATTTATTTCTTAATACTTAATAATAATAACATGCATTTCATGATTTTTTTTTTGTTTGAATCTAATGCATCAAAAACAAATAACATACTCCAACTTACTCTAAATTTTCTTGCATTCAGGTCAACAAATAGATACTCAAATTAGTATTGTTATTATTATTTGCTGCCAGTAAACTTTTAACAGTACTTTTAATTTGATAAATTATGTCCCTTTTACCTTTTTGACGCTTTGCTGACTGGACCCAAACCATTTCTGTATGCATTGCACTTACTCTATAACTGAATCCATAGCAAGCAAATAACTTGCTCCGATACAATTATTTGCGTTTGGAAAACAAAAATGAAACAGCCGTCTTCTAAAAATTTGTGGAGAGTATAAAAAGTGACATACAATGCAAAGCGTTTGCAGAAGCGGAGAACAGCTCTTGCATTATTAGAAATAGATGCACAATAAACACAAATGTTGATTTATCATAAAAACCAGCTGAAGTAATCCTGATAAACTTCTGTATGATATAACTGGAGCAGCATTCAGTTTAAACAATGATAGAATGGACACAGTACAGTAATACCATTGCCGTGCATTGATATTATTTTCAAAAGATCAAATGACAAGACTCACGTAGTGAAGTGTGTAGAGGTGATGGTCAACTGTCGAAAATTGACTGCGTATGTTTCTCTGTTTACGCTTTCAAATGAGGAACTCGACACTTTTGCTGCTTCTTCTTGTATGTCGGCCGTTTCTCCGCTCCACTTCCTTACCTGAACTTGTGTGACGCAAGCACCAATGACAGGCCAGGGGGCGGGGACGGAAAGCCCCGCTCACCTGAACCAACAGGCTTCATGCCTGTATTAGGCAACCTTTCCACGATTGGTCCTGGCCAACTCTCTGGACGTAACAATTGGCTGACCCACTTTCTATTCGTCTTTTTCTATTCTGTTCATCCAGTTTCTGCCCTCCATGGCATTAATTAATAGGATATGCTGATATAATACAATCATTCATTTTCATTTCATTTCATTTCATTCATTCATTCATTCAAGTCCAAGATGGCGCCCGAGTAGGCAGCCATCTGCTTAAGAATGCTGTCAATAATATTTGATTTGTCAAAAATTACATTTTTATACATATATACGACATGTGGATTTCATGCTGAACCACAAAGAAGACCGTCACGACTGAGCTACTCTAATACAGTTTTTTTTTGGGGTGGGGGGGGGGGGGTTCACAGGAGTTAACACAATACAATACATTTTTATTTATAGAGTGCTTTGACCAAGGCTGTGGTCGTGTCGTGGTTTGTACCCAGTGTTGTGGCTGTCGGCACCCTGGTTCAAATCCTCCTCATGGCATGTGCAAAGACCAAACTTGTATTCTTTGTTTGCCGTTGTCTGAGCAGGGATTATAACTTTGGTGGCCCGGTGGTCCAGTGGTTAGCGCATCGACCTCACAGTGCAGAGGCTGTGGGTTCCTCCAGCCTTCCTGTGTGGGGTTTGCATGTTCTCCCCCCGCCTGCGTGGGTTTTCTCCGGGCACTCCAGTTTCCTCCCATCATTTCAGAAACATGCATGGCAGGCTGATTGAACACTCCAAATTGTCCCCAGGTGTGAGTGTGAGCGTGAATGGTTGTTCGTCTGTGTGTACCCTGCGATTGGTGGGCAATGCCCCCCGCCTACTGCCCGAAGACAGCTGGGATATGCTCCAGCACCCCCCTTGACCCTTGGATGGATGGATGTATGGATGGAGCGCTTTGACCACAGCTGCAGCTGTAACAAAATGCTTTACAGCAGGGGCCCCCAACCTTTTTTGCCCCACGGACCGGTTTATGTCAGACAATATTTTCAGGGACCGGCAATTAAGGTGTGGCGGAAATAATACAACAAAATAATATGGTATGAGCTGCATGAAAACTGTGGCGTTTTCGAAATATAATAATAAACACAAGGAGCGTCTAATCTGGCCGCAACACTCCGATCGCTATGGCAA